ATCTAGCCAGTGCCAGCGCCGCGCTCACCCGGCTGCCACTCCGCTATAGGACTCTGCAAGGTCACCGTCATTTCGCGGGGGGCTTCTCTCGTGGATTATTGTTTCGGGACTATGACGCGGCATCCGTGCCCTTGTGGTTGGGGATGTCCTGCGCCGTCTAGTCGGGCCCGCCCTTGCCCACCATGGCTCGAGCAGGCAAGTTTTCCCCACCACTATGGGCTCAGGACGCGAGAGGGCGGCGAGGCTCTGCCGCGTGCTTTCTTCGCGGCTGCCGAAGTCCATGCTCATGCTATGGTCATTTCTGCTGCTGCCGCTGGGGCATATGCAAGCGTGTACGTCATGTTTCCTGCCAAGCAAGCGATACTGGGAACTTTCCCCGCCAGAGCTGCGTCCGCTCCGTACGTCCCTTTGCTCGCCACTTCTACGGCTCTCCCAACAACTTCTTGCCGTTGAAAACCTGCAAGCAGCATGGCTGTTTCTGTGCTGATGTTGGAGCGCCAACCAATTACTTGCTGCGTGCGTTGCCTCCAGGTGCTAGGGCTGCAGAGTGCGCCGGCCAACATGACATGACAAAGTGATGACTTGTTGCCTTGCCACACTCCTCGGCCTTGTGGATGCCCTGCCGCCGGTCACGCTTCGTGCGTGCGGGAGGCTTCGGCGTGCAGGAAAAGCAACCAGAAACCGCCATGCTGCGTATAATGGGCATCCTGGATGGACGCACGAGCTCCCAGCATGGCCGAACGCCATGAAGAGGGATTCGACTTGCATCGACTTGCTCTCATGTGGCGATGCTGCTCCTGGTGAGATCAACTCTCTTCCCGAGCAATGACAATGAATGACAATGAGCCAGCAAATGATTGGCACAGTTAATAGTGCAACGCCGCGCACGCCTGCTATGAACGCGAGCAATTTACTGTATTTTTCGCTTGGGTTTCGAATTGGGGACACCTCGCCAGGAGAGAGGCCTGTCCTTGAACGACCAACGGTTGTGGTCAGAATGTGAAACATGCTAACGTTCAATTGTCACATACATCAAGCATTCGAGCATATTAACAACAAGCAAGCAAAGAACAACATAAACGAAATTGTGAACATGTACATAATTGAAACGGTTGTCTACAACAGCACTACGGCTCAGTTCACATCTCACAAGCGGCAACTGCATCGCACACAGCGCCAACGCACGCAACGCTTCGCAGGATGTCTCCAGCTCTGTTGGCTGCCGGGTGCACCCTGGGCGAAGCATGCCCCCCAAAATTACCGCTTGCAAGCATTCTTAATGTTGTCAGCTTGAACAAGACGGGCGGTTCCCGTGCGTTCTCGTCCAAGCTGCAGGTTGGTTTTCGTTAGTAAAATGTTCTCCTAGGGCTGCTATTGCTCTTGCTACTGGTATTTTTTTCTACTGCACAAAGACTCCTGCTCCTATCATGACCCCTGCTTCTACTTTTGCTCTGTTTTTGCTGCTCCTGCTGTTGCCGCTATTTGCGGCTGCTACCACGATGGCTGCTGCACCAGCTCCAGGGGCCGCAAATTGTAGCCGTCGAATCACCACAGGACAGCTTGTGGAGGGCCCATCCCGACAGATTTTTTTCCTCCGACTTTCCATTCTTCTAGATCACGTTGCGCATGGGGGTGGTGTCAAATCTCTACTGAGGCTCACGGAATCTCAGCCATTTCTCGCACTCCGTGGTGGTACAAGCACGCCAATATGCAAGCGTTATACACGAGCTACAACCGGTTTCCCGTTGCGGTAAGCACGGGACATGTCCATCACCATATGGGCCGCAAGACCCCGTCACACGACTCCGCACAGCCGATCACAGCCGAACGCGTTTCCGCACGAGAAAAATGATTCCGGTATAATCCGGGTGTTCGCTTGTGTTCAGATTTTGTACCTGTATTGTTCTGTTGTTCACCTGACGACCCGTTTGGTACGAAAAAAAAGCCTGCAATGCGCACACTTATGAAAATAATGTGGGCAGTTTAAGTACTGTGCTCACCTGACGTGCCTCGCATGCTAGAAGCTGCCAGAACAGATTCACTCAAGAGTGATTGCATCAGACGTGCCTCTTTCAGACTTGCCTTGGCAATGCCTTTGGCCCAAGTGACCGGGTGAAAACAACTGCTCCGTCGAAGTTGTGTGTAGTTGTGCCTGCTTGAGCTGTGACCAACACAGGGTTATCAGTGCTGTAGCTCGCGGTGCCATGGCTACAGACGATGCGAGGGCGCATTTACATCAAAGATCTGCTAAATATAAATACCGGTTCTGTTTGTGATGGTTGGCGCTTCACTTTGAAAAGTCAATTCCTGCGTGTAGCGCCGGACGCTGTTGCTGCCATGGTTTACATCAAAGAGCTTGGTGATGAATATGTTTATTTTGGCGATTTGGCGTCCAGCTTGTCCGTAGACATGAACGAAACAGATGTGAGTGTTTTTGCCGCAGTGGTTGCAGCGTGTCAAAAGGATTCAAAAGGGCAAGAAAGGGCATGGCATGAGCAACCACATTTCTGGCGTGATGGTGGTTCCAGTGAGGTGCCGCTCACCATGGTCACTTCCGTCCCCTTTGTGGTCCTGCAAGTTTGGTCAAAGAGACAAGCGGGAAGGACTTGAACGATTTTTCGCCCACATGTTTCGGGAGTTTTGCATGACCCTTCGTGGGACGGAACCTCGCTGGCCTTCCGGCTGTTCTGGCGTTGGCCAAACCATCGCAACCTGCAGACCAACATTGCTTGGCGCATTATCCGAAGGACCCCACTTGCGACGTGTGCCTGCAGGCCCAGATGTGCCGTGCTCCAGCATACCGCCAGAGACCATGCTCGGAGGATGAAAAGCAGACAACTCGTGTGCATGGGGAACGCATTCACTGTGATCTTGTCGGCCCCACGCCCCAGCATCAATGCCGAGGTGTATGGCATGATTACGCATGATGATGCTGGGCGGTACCCGGCTGCGCGTGCTATGCGCACTAAACAAGCTTCCGAAGCCGCTGCCGCCTTCGATGACGTGTACAGGAACCGGTCATCCGTCCGAACGGAGAATGGTGGTGAATTCCAAGGCGAGTGTGCTGCAAAGCTCAAAGACCGCTAGATTCGTTTTGAGTGCTGCTTGCCACATCGACCGCAGACAAATTCCCGAGCTGAGCGTTTCCATCCCACAGTTGCAGAAGGCATGGCCTGCTTGTTTGTTGCGTCTGGAGTGCCATGTGTTTTTTGGACATGTTGCCTCATGGCCTTCCTGTTTGTGTATGCGCGCAGCCCCGGTACAAATGGTGCCGAGTCACCTTATCAGCTCCTCTTCAATCGCACCTGCGATTTACCTGCGTCCTTTCGGCTCAGCTTGCTACTACCTTTCTGAAGAGCACGAGAAGTTTGCATCTCGCGGACGGCTTGGTGTAGTGCTGGGCTATCACCTGCGTCTCGTCGTGCTGCTGGTGTCCCAGACATGCCGACGCCGTTCCGAATTTTGCTATTGCGCCGCCTACGATTTTCTTTCCCCTTTCGCACCGCGCAGAGGCCACTGTCATGGTGTGCTTGGCCCATTCGGCGACCACCGCCAAGCTTGAGCGACCTCGGAGGTACCGCGACGCGCGGGCGCGTGCTGGTTTGTCACGAGGCCGGCGCCGGGGCCGTGTGAATTTCGATGTGCCGGTTTCGGATGAGCGCCGCGTTGAGGTGGTCGATAAGGGCGTGCCTTTGTGGCGCGGTTGTCCGCTCGCCCTAAACAGCACCCTCGCGTGCCCCCTCACACGGCGAGGCGAGCCCTACCCACACGCAGACATCCAGCCGGGGACGCCGTGTGGGCCGCAGCCCGGCGCGAACGGCATCAAACGTATCCAGACGCTGCCACCTGCGGGCCGCCGCTGTCCTCGCACAATTGCGACCCCCTCTCAATCGCATGAATATACCGAGTATTACCGAGCCATCCAGTGGCCGAAACAAGACGTTTATTCAAAAATGTTTTTTGGAACGTCATTTAAAAGGAACATCATCAGATGAGTCTTTTGCAGTTGCCACCAATGTGTTTTTTGAATTTTGTTTTTTGTTTGCCGTTTTGTTGCCGTCGAACACGTAGTCTTTCTAGTCCCTCTGTGAAGGACCCTCCGAACACCCTCGATAAATACATTCTCGCGGCACCGACAATGTACACTGCAGGGGTGCTTCTGCTCGAGCCATTAGCCCTTGAGGATGAGCATGTACTAGATGTTGCTTGGAATGTGGATGCCCGCACATAATAATTAGGACAAGATGTGATCGTGACATTTAGTGTTAATGTTTCCGTGGGTTCACGATGCAGCGTTGTCATTGCCACGGCAGGAGTTGCGGTCATAAGCTAGCAGACAGGTTTGGTCAGAGTGCCACACCTTTTGCATGGCCACCACCCACATCGTGTCCGCGAAAAAACCCACGGACACACAGCAGTAACAACGAACACACACACGGACATACCGGGTCGTTGCAACCATGGCGGATGACGCGGAAGCCGCTGAAGTGGAATCATCCAGGCAGCAAGTTGCTATTGGAGCTCCAAAATACGTTTAACAGGCTTGTTCAGGAATTCATTCGTTGGCGAGAAAGTTGTCCTTAGGCATTTGATTTTGTATCAGCCGCATAGTCTGTGCGTTTCCATCGCGGTTGCACGAATTGTTGCCGGCCGTTGAATCCGAACATGCGTGCTTCAGTCGTGCTTCGATGTTTGGCAGCACGCCTTTCTCAGTGCATTTCCATGAAGCAGCATTCTTGGTCGATGCAGGTACCGGCAAGCTTTTGAAGGTATCATGAGGCGAATCTTGAAGGACCTAGTCGGACCCGTGTGATGTTGTGTTTGGTGCGTTTTGCGAGTAAAACTTTTCGCTCAGGGGCCATGACTTGGTGACCACCAGGACTACCAAGGAACGGAAGCGGAAGTCAAGGACGGGTGCCCTTCCTGCATTTACCGAATGTTTGATACCCCTTGGTGCAAGACATACACGCAAACATACATGAAATCCATGTTCTCCGAGGATGGAAAGCGGGATGCGTCGCCTGTTTGCCCAACCTTATCCGGCTGAATTGGGCCGTGCACAAGGCTCACCGCATTGAATGTGTTATCCGATCCCATTCTTACGAGCTTGTTTTCATTGGTGCCCCAGGCACGGAACCGTTCAGCTTGGAAGATGCACGTCGCGTCGTATTTTTTCCGTCCTTGTGCCCGGGCGGGATTTGAGCAAAAATTGGATGTTCCGTGAAGACATGCGACACATTGTTTGTGGCTGCATAGGCATCTTGTTCGGAAGCTTCAACACCGTAGGGTGGTGGGTTACCTAAGCGCATGTTCCCGTGCGAGTACCGCTGATTTTCAGCTTGTGCAGTTCCAGTGTTGTTTGCGCCAGAAGTGAGCGGAGCTGAGGTCGGACATGAAGGCCAGAACTCCGAAGACTTTGCACATGTTCGCAATGTTTTTGGGGTCGCGTGTTTTCCGAACAGGGGCGCCGACCATTTGAGGCAGGCTTGAGGCTAACGTCAGAACATTCGTGTGGTGTTGGTGGTGGTGATGTGACACATGCATCCCATGTGCAGCATGGCAGACCTATGTCCACGCATTTGCGCGCCCGACACCGTCATCAGCGAGAAAGGCACCACGGCCAACAATATTTAAGTTTGTCGAGATCTGAAGTTGCATGAGGAACAGCTGATGAAATTCAAGCTGCTGAGCGTGTTCTACACGATTCACCGCTTGGATGGCCCCATGCTAAGCATTTTTTTGTGTGCCTGCAGACGTCCAAGGGCTGCTGGTAGAGCATGTTTGAAGATGCAGGTGAGGATGTGACACATCATTACGTTATCGCGTTTGTGTTCCCGTTCTGTTTGAAGATTTAAAGCCTGCTTGTCGAAAAAGGCATGCAAGCCGATTTGGAGCCGGTGTTTGCATGCCATCTTGAGGTGCGCTGGTGGATCGCTTTATGCATGCCGGCGGCCTGCTGTCACTGGTGAGTTTGCTTGGCGAAGTATCTTGGCCAAGATTTGCAATGTGCAGAACCTTTAGTAGAGCCATACGATATTCGTTCAGTAATGGAGCTGTTACACACAAGTGCTGCCAGACACAATATGTTACAAGTGCTAGCTTTGGCGACCAAAGCACGATGGGTCCCGAGAATCACAGCTAGAAGCCTTAAAAGTGCCATGTCCTAGACACAGTCTTCAATTGAAACCATGGCACAAACCATCTCACACAAAACCACCGATGTATTGAGTCCAAACCCAAGGCCCCAATCCAAATCGGCTTCTTACCGAGGACAACCCTTACATCCAGTCGCAAGCCATGGAGCTGCTTCTCGGTCGGATTTGGGCGTGTCCGAAAAGCGGGGACCCTAACATAGTACCCTAAGTAGTAGGACCCTTATTAGCAAGGCAGGGGGTTCATTATACGGGTGGTGGTCAAAGTTATGGCCCTTTGTTGGGTGCCCTAAATGTTGAGTGCCGTATTATATCAAGGACCCAAAAAGGGACCATGATTCTGACAACAATTTGTTCTTGTCACGTAGTCATAATCTGAAAAAGCGCGAGTTAAACAATGAAGCAGCAATGACAGAAAGAACGAAATGGGAACCGAAGCGCGTTTCCTTCGTATATCCATGTCGGCTTTTCGGAAATTTATTTCTTGTCAGCTGTGCACAACATAGTGTAACGTCACGTGAAAAAGTTACGTGCGCCAGATATCTTAGATATCTTGTTGATTAATGCATCTCGGTTCAGTGTCGTCGTAGTTGCTGGCTCATGGTTTAATGTATTCGGTTCCTTGGAGCTCAAACTCAGGTCAGTCAAGGGCCCTGCACGTTGAGTTCATGATTTAAGTGGTGTTGTTCTCAGTTTCTACCTGTACCACGCAAGGCATACAAGAGCTGGAGTTGACAGACAGGGCAGTGAGGTTTTTTTTACTTCCAGGAGTTTCACCTCCTTGAACGGGGAGCTACCCTTTGGCCTACTGTAGGACTTCGTGATGTGATCAGCACAGGTTGACGGATTTCCTCGGCCCCTTGATGACTTCTTCGGCTTCGGGTTCCATTCGACAGGCGGCCGTTGCGCTGAGGAGCTGGGTGTTCGTGTTTCGCCATCGGTGTTACGTTTCGTGTTTCTGGCTTTATAAAATATCTTAAACCCTCGAATCCTAAACCGTTTTGGCGGTATTTGAGGGTTTGGAGTTTGTAAGATCAGTGTTGCTTTTCGGTAGTATTTGGCTCCCATGGGGAAGCACTGCGTTGGGGAGATGGTACCTGCAGGCTTTGGGTAACTTCAAACATGCAACCACCAAAACTTCACAAATCTTCGACCGAATCGTAGGTTTTTTTGTTATCCAAGAGTCTGCTCACGAAGTATATTGCACAGAACCGACTGCCCTCAAAAGACAGATGTGGAACATAAGCAAGCATTTTAGCGCCAAACCGATCGAGCAAAAACAACTTCTTTACCGTAGATATAATGTATATAATATATTAAGATTATGATATCGTTCACAAACACATAAATACACATAATGCAATGCAATATATGAAAATATGCTTCATATTATAGCCAGGTACAATCGTGATGTGTATTACATTGTATTATGTTCATATTGTGTTCTGTGATGCCGTGGGAAGGCGCACCTGCACCATCAGATGTACCTTTGAAGCTCGGCACGCTTAGCCAGAGGAGAAGATCGAGAGTCCCACCATGATGGGTGGGGTGGGTCGGGGGTGGGGGGGGTTCGCTTGAGGTTTAGGGTTTAGTGCGTCGGATTTTTGGTGTTGCTATCTGAGATTCAAAGTTTCAAAGTTTCAACGTTCAGGCTTTCGCTTCCAAGGGTTGTCACCCAGAAGTTTAATGGCATGTGCAGAGGAGGCTTGCAAGTGCCAAGCCCCCCTCCTCCACGGCTTATCGTTTGACGGATGTTTCAGATGCCGCCAATATGGTTATCATTGAAGCACAGTCGTGACGGTCTGGGTTTAGGTTTAAGATAAGAGTTGCAAGTGATACGGGGATTAAAGCTAAACTCAGTGAAAACCGCACCAAGACTGGGCGGCAAATCTAAATCAAGAAGCCCGTGCAAAAAACAGACATCTAATTCTACAGGGTTTGGAGACTGGGCGGTGTTGTTGAGTGCTTGATCGTGTGGCTTTCTGCACCAATCATGGCAGATTGTCTATGACGTAACAAGAGGGACTTTGTCCATTTCGCCAATATCGGTTATTGTTGCTCTCCATACTCTGCCTTGTCGAAGGATTCAATGCGGGCAGAGGCTTACGTGGAAGGGGCTCAAGGCTGAAAGGCAACTCCGTGTGTCCATGAACTCCAGCCTGTTGCGTTGCTTTGCGGTGGCGGATTTCCGAGGTCTGAAGGCAGGTGCGCTCTTCCAGCGCGCTGCTGATATTCTGAACCAGCCGGGGGAGGCTTCGGCAGTTGCACTTAAAGGTCTAGGCTAGAGTCTAGATTGAGGGAAGCGAGTCGTGCCTGTCCTGACCTGCGACCTGACATCGCAGAGGCTAGAGTCACCTTCAGAAAGACGTTGGAGTACAGTCGAACACAAAGAGCTTTTCCGTTTTTTCTTTTTAGGGCCGTGGGGTTGGTGAATGGGGATAATGCAGGCCATCATAATTAGAATAGGGTTTGGGGGCCCAATATACTATAATTATAATGAGGAACCGAAAATAGTATGGGTAATTATTTAAGCCCCTATATTGGGGGCTGCTGGGGCTGCTCGTCTCTTGGCAGGGCATCGTTGAGTACTGGCACCCAAACTCTGGGCCTTAGACCCACACCGTTTTAACTTAAAGCCCCTGTTTTGGCAAGGGGGCGCGAATAGGAAATCACGGGTAGATCCCCCAGCGCTCCTGACAAGAATCCTGCTTTGTGGGATGCACAATTTGTCCTGGGCCCTGCCTCCGCCCCGCGGTTGAAACACCTGCAGAGCCCCTTAATAGCATACGGAGCCCTTCACCCCTGTAGAGCCCTTATTCAACCCTGGCCCAGAAACACATCCAGACTTAAAAAGAGAACTTCATTTTGGTTGCATACCCTATTTTATGGTTTGGGTCCCATGACTTAGGTATTCCAAGATAAGGTTGACATGTTGGGTTAAGGTAGTACACTACCTATAACCTAAATTGTGTGCTTCTTTTCAAACTGTCAGGTCTTTCCTAAAAGCTACAGCAGCAGCATCCGGCTGTTGGCAGGACTCGGGCTATCGGGGCGCTGTCAGGGTTAAGGCGGCTAAGGGTGGCTTGTTTGGGTTTGATGCTTGGGGTTGTTTGACAGGTGCGGTGCAGGTTTAGGGTGCAGGGTTGCTTGAGATCCCGGGCTCAGATCAAAGGTGGTCGGGGGTGCTGGGGACATGACATTGCAGCGCGCAAGGGTTGAATTAACAGTTCGGAGGTGCCCAGGACGCCGCATCCAAGGATTGGTGTTACCTTAGGGCCCCGGAAGCCTGAATACCAGGTTGCTACCTATGTAATCAATATGTAACCTATTACAACTTTATTTGGGTAATTGGAACCCTCGCAATTAAGGATTCGGTTTTGTCTTCTAGGTAGGGCTTTGGGACATTTTATATTTTCCATTATTGGGCTTAAGAGGATCTTACTTACTAATAATTTAATTTTCAAAGGCTCTAAAAGCCCCACCTAGTCTTCGTTGTTTTGCTTGCTGGAGTGCACGGCCCGTTCCTGGATCAGGCTGCAGCTCGAGGTTAGAGCTGATATGTTGCACCAAACCCCGAAAAGACCTATCTCTTCAGGGTTCTTATTATGGTTCCGATATGTTGTTCCCTAAAAGGTAGGTTTTTTGGGCCACAGGTCAGGTTCAAATGGTGTTTGGGGTGCGGGATGATTGTTGGTTTCGGAGTTCAGGCTCAGGTTCTTCTCTGACCTGCATCGGGCATCTTGAATCTGAGCTTGTGGCCTGCAGTGTACGCCATAGTGAGTGGGTCATGATGAATTTGGTGGCGGGATCTGGGTTCAGGGGTAAGTTGCAAGGCACGGCATGGTTTTTTACGAGCTCAACCGCGGCTCAGGCTCCTCCGACTTGCGAACGGTTTAGGGTTTTATGAGTTTAAGGTTCATGGGTTTACGGTTTCACTTCCTGATCCGGAGAGGAGCTATCGGCTGGCTACGGCCAATGGGCGATGACGTCCCTGAGGTGGGAGTCGGTTGCAACAGGATGGATCTCGAAGTCGTTCGATTCATGGTCATTGGGATGCTCGAGATAGCCGTTCACAACAATTTTTTCTTGTATTGGTATTAGTAGCCCAGAGGGTTCACGGTTTAAAGTTGTCTGTGTTGCTGGTGCTGGGGCCGAGGCCCCATACTCTTGCACAATTTGTAGTATACAGTCAGTATACATATGCATCGCCGAAACCCTGAATCCCACACTGACACGTCCAGCCCCCTACCCAACGTGTTACAGTAGTGAACCCAAGGTGTTACAGTGGACCTTGCCAGGCTTGTCCATGTGTGAGTGTCAAAAAAACCCAAGGGCAGGAGGACAGGCTGCTTGAGTTTTGTAGGCACCTCCTTGTGCCTGGCAGGCTGGCAGCGTGCCAGAGCCACGATTCAAGGTTTAGGGTGGGGGGGCAATATAGTTTCTTTAATAATTAGAATAGGGTGTTGCAGCCGGTTGCAGCTCACTATACACACCGATGTATATATATATATATATATATATATATATATATATATATTTATTTATATTTATATATACATATACATATACATACATAAAAAGATATATTCATATAATAAGGAACCTCCAAAATAGTATAGGTAATGTACCTTCAGGCCTGAGGTCCCCAAGTCAGCCCGAAAGCGCTACTCACGGTCAGGGACTAAACTTAAGCCTTTTGTGGATGTACATAACCTTGCCATAGAGCCCATACCATATACATGCATATATATATATATATATACATATTTTTAAATATATTCTATGTATATCTTGAAACATCATATGATGTTTAATCCAATCGAATAATTATAGTGTAAAGTTGAACCCCGGCCTTGGACGCAGCGAGTAGGTTTCGCATTCCAACGAGCAGGAGCCAGCTTATCCAAGGTGGAAGGCACCCTTACTTAGATAGTGAACGGGGGAACTTTAAACTTGTTGGCCTTATGTATTATCTCTATCTTTTAAAGTTTGAACTTTTTTGTGCTTGGTTGTTGAAGAAGAGAGCTTAAGCCACAGACCGTCTTCGAGTAACTCCGAACCTCTGGTCCTTCAGGCCACCGTACCTCCAGAGGCCACTGTGCTTCGAGACTGGGAGCCGGGGCAAGGGGGGCCAGCCACAGGGAAATGCACGAGCTACTAGCGTTGCCTTGCTGAAGCCCGCATGTGCAGCTTTCGCACATCATTCAAAAGTAGCTTTATTCTCCTGATGCTGGCATTTGTGGTTATGGCGACGGCGACGAGGATGGTGATGGCAACGGCGAAGATAACGACCAGGGTTAGGGCAAAGGAGAAGACGGTGCATGCAAGCAGGGATGCGGCCTTTTGCTATGCGTTATATGTTCACGTATTCAACTTTCCGAAGGCCGAAGTGATTTCTGAAGTGGTTGGGTTTCGGTGTGGTGTAACAAACACCACCACACTCTACCTTCGCAATGATGCTGTCTTCCCGGTCGCACTGCTCGTCATGTGCATGACAACCTTTCGTTCGCTGTATATCACTGTCCCTCGAATACAAACTATAACCAGCCCATGATGTTGTGAGTACTTTACTACTGTTCATTTGCATTGAGCGTGTGTTCCTGCATGAGAATGGCTCCACAGGCACGGGTTTATGAAGGCAGCAAGTTTGACAGCTTGCATGTACCTGACCAGAGAAAACCAACGTGCACGTGTGTGTACACTCGTGTTCCATGCCGTATACATACACATATTTACACTTACTTACATAAGTGCAGGTATGCATAGACAGCTCAACATTCAGGTATGCAAAGCACAAGCATCCTAGCCGCTTCTTCTGTCTGTTTGTTTGTGTGTTTGCCTGTCTGGACGCACGTTTATGCATGCGTGTATGCATGCATGCGTTCACTCGTGCTTGCATGCATGTATGCACATGTGGCTTCGCATTGCACGTTGGCAGACCGACTGACAGACAGACAGACATGTGTATGTGCAAACAGCTGCAAACACATATGCATGCGCTGCATGCATTCTGAACCCATGTATGTATGCATGTTTGGCTGTGCGTGCGCCTCTGTCTCTGCATGGCATTTAGTTGCAAATGTTCATGGCCTTCTGTACTCATACATGACATCATGATATGCGTTTCCCTCTGTTGTTCTATCTAGCAGCTTCTCTACCTTATCGTGTATGTAGCAACCTGCAGGCAGCTGCAGCGGTGGCAGCTCTTCAGCATTGCATCGGCCGGTCCCAGGCGAGAGACTAGAGCTGTGAAACACACCGAGCTCACGGCCTTGTCCCTAAACTGCCTTAGTCCCCTGGTCCCTTGCACAAGTCCTCGACACGACACCGCCCGATGGTTTACATTTCGCCATAGGGTTTGTGACCGGTTTGGGTCCACAGTTTCAGGATTTCGGGACTCCTAAACCCGAAGCCCTTCGAGGTTTAGGACCATCCATCCCAAACCTTCTCCCCAACCCAGGGCGCGCTTGCGCCCGACATCCGGAGCACCGCAGAAGCTGTCATGGAGGACACTGTAATGGGTTCAAACATATTTCGTACCCGAATCATGTATCTGCATATGCATGCATGGCATGTAGGCATGTATGTAATGTAGGTATGTAATGCAGTCTAGTGTAGTGTAGTGTAATGTATGTATGGAGATATGGATGTCTGGATGCATGGACGCATGTACGCATCTATGCATGCCTGCCTGCCGGTCTGCATGCATGCATGCATGTAGGTATGTGCGTGCATGTATGTCTGTGTATGTATGTTGGTATGTATGTAGGTATTCACCTTAGTTAAACAAAGACCGGCAGGCTTAAGCTTACATGTGCTGCAAACCATGGGTTCTCGTCTCGAAAGGCGCAGGCGCTCTCTGTGAACGCATTCTTAGCCTCAGTTCTTCAATTCAGTGTGAGAAATCAGTGGCAGAACAGAATACTCCCGGCCTGGGCAATTCACCCCTGCTGGTTTTCCGGGTGCCGTGCTGTTTGTCCACTTCACGAAGAAAGGGTGTATAGCTGGGTTCCTTTAGCGTTACATGGGGCTTTGGATCGTTTGAGTTCGCAGCTTCTTTATTCGGGCTCCGAGTTCGGGGGCCTCTTGAATGACAGAAGACAGCAATTCAAGAATCCAGGCCTGAATGGACGTCCTTGCCATTGCTCCTCCTTTAATGCTGTAGGGGTTCGTGCTCCAGAAGTGTGGTTCATCCGACGTCGTGAGCCCTAGTTTCCGCATTCAAACTGTCGGGTTGTTTTCAGATGTTTTCAGCAGGTGCGCGACACCACGCATTGCTCCGGTTCTCGAGATTCTCAAGAAACCACTCTACCATGCGGGCTTTGCATCTTGGCCGCTCACTGACTCAAGCAAACGGTATAGAAGGTGATGCTTGGATGCCCAGTGGATGCCTGATGTAATAATGAAGAAGGAACAGGACGTTGCTCGAGAGTAGCACGATGCCGAACGAACGTCCCGAACAGAAGAATTATGCAGCTTTTGGATCCACCACAAAAGGAGCTCGCTGGATCACCCACCATCCGTCAATGCCTCGGCTTCTTCGGTGGGCAGCCTTCAACAGTGCTTGGAAGGAAGGGATGCTTCTGGAGTTCTGAGAGTCACAAAACCTCCAAAGTGGAGGAGAGTTTAATATAACTGACATAGTTCAATTATAGCAATAGGGAGATCTTTCTTCCCACCTTCATCACGCCGTCTGTCGAGGCCCTTTGGCGGGGTCTACAATGAAGACTGCAAACAGGTGGTTGGGGATTCGGACCCTACATGAGCAGAACCTCCGGCATTCTGCCTACACCCGAAATTGAGTACCATTTTCTGCGGCAATCTCGTTCGTGGCCGGAGCCTTCCAGCAAGACAGTAGGGTAATCAGAACAGTTCCCGTATTCAGCCGATGGTCTGGGTACCACAGGTCCGCAGAGACCGAGCCGTGTCCTACTCAAACAAACTGTAAGATGGTTCGCTCTGCAAGTTGCTGATCACGGTCAAAGTCTGGCCAGGATCGAAGGCTGCGGCTTTTGGACTTGAAGCCCTTTCGCGCCTAGACGCTTTCTACGGCTCATTGCGTTGTATAATATAGGTGCTGCATGAGCTTATCTTTGATCTCTGCTAAGTAAACCCCTCAGAGGGCATTTATATTTGGGACCCTTAGTTTAGTCCATATCACGAGCGGATGTACGTCCAGCGCACTTTTCTTTTGGTAGCACTCGAAATCAGTAAGGTGGCTATAAGCTCGCGTACTTAGTAATGTAAGGCAGCCAAAGCGGTAAGCTAGACCTTTTCCGGGATAGTATTAGCATATCGAGTAAAGTAACCAACATGGCAACTGCATGTAATTCCCTGACATTCCCTGACTCTCGACAGAGGTTCCGCTCCTCTGAGTGGCGATGCGCTAGCCAAGGCCTGAGGATGAGAGACTTGTTGGTTCCCTATACAAGCTCAGCACGGGAAGACCTCAGGGTTTCTAGCCGCGCTTGTCGGAAAGTTCCGCAAAAGAATATCCGGGGATATCCGGCGGCGCCCTGTGTTGCGAGACCTAAAGTGGCCAGGTTTCTCGGCTAGCCGGCTTTCATGCACAACATAGGTTCGCAGACCGTCAAGATGGCCAGGTAGTTAAATGGGCAATTATATAGATAGGCAGATATATACGCAGATAAACAGGCAGGCAAGAGAGATAGATGGATAGGTAGATAGATAGATAGATAGCTTTGCAGATAAGCAGCTAGACAGATAGACATCTTTGCAGATAAACAGATAGACAGAAAGACGGATAGATAGATGGACGGGTAAAAAGACAGCTGCACAGATGGATGGATAGATTGGTAGATAGACAGCCGACAGAGAGATGGGTAGTTAGGTAGATAGAAAAGCGGGGAGAGAAGCAGATACACGCACGCTCTGTCATTATGTTGACTTCACGAATCGAGGCGTCGGAATAGTTGCACATGTGGGAGTTTCCGAAAATAGGGGACCCTAATATAGTACCCCAACTAGTAGGATCCTTATTATAAGGACCCCCAAATAAGGTACGCCTAATAGGCGGAAAGTCCCATGTTGGTCCTTAGGGACCCTTAGTATGGCCACAGTAAAACCACCGTATTTCCTATTCTACCTATTCGGGAGTTTCCGAAAATTAGGCGTACCTTATTTGGGGGTCCTTATAATAAGGATCCTACTAGTTGGGGTACTATATTAAGGTCCCCTATTTTCGGAAGCTCCCCTCTACTGGGCCTTTATAGGAACCCGGATCGAAACCCGTCAGGGTTTAACCTTAGCAGGAACCCTCTGCTGACCATTCAGGCCCCCTGCATCTTTCTGATGCTTGCGCAGGCAGAAATGGCCATCTTTGATGCCGAAGCTCAGAAGACGGAGGCGCCCGTGGGAGTTTTGGGTTTTGCGTTATAAGCCCTAAACCCTACATGTCAACCCTAAACCCCGATCCGGGTTTAGGGGGCACCCTTCGAGCCACGGGCTGAGGGTTTGGTTAACACTTTCCGGGGCTAAAATGGCTTGTAGGGTTGCAGGTTTACGGGTTACTGAGGGCTTACTATATTGGGGTTTTAGGGCTAATTGCTGAGTCGTTGCTACAGTCCCTATATGGATTACCATTGCTGGGACCAATGGGCTTAGTATGGAACTCTTTCGCAAAGTTATGAATAAATTATGAATCATAGCCCTCAGCAAGGTACATCAGTCTCGTTGCGTCTCTAGTGCCACATGCATGGCTGCATAGCGGTTATGCGCAAATGCAACGGAGCCCCGAAGCAAAAAGAAGGTACATCGAAACCCTGCTGCAACACGCATGTTGTTTGGTCACCCGAAACCCTAAAAGAAACCTACCTGGATCCTTTCAGTGATTTCCTTCACGAGCGCTTTGCTTTAGTTTCTCAACTCTCGAACCCGAAGTGCCAAAGCTCTAGACTCGAATCCCCGTACATGCAGACCCAAAAAACCTTGCTCACAAAATCCCACGAAACCATCACACACAGAATGCTAAAGTCCAAAAACCCCCAACAGAGTCAGTCTACCTACACAGCGCCGAAGTAGTCGCACCATCGTTGTGAGACCTTGACCCTAAACCCTAGACCTTGAACCCCAAACCCCGCACCCTAAACCCCAAACCCTAAACGCTAAACACCCGCTCAAAAACCCGGACCCAAACCCTATAGAGTTTCTATAAGCCCTGAAGCGAGGATGCAGCACATGCCTGGCAATCCCTGAAGCTCCTGGGCAACGAAGCTTTTGGTGCTGGCCTGTGGCACTGACCTCAGTCTCGAGCCATTCTTGAGGTTTAGGGTTTGGGGTTTAGGGTTGTTTCGTGTTTCGTTGGAGTTCCAGGAGTGTGTCCAATTCTATGGCGAGAGTTCTGTGAGTAAACAACTTTGCTCGTATGCAGATTGGTCGTAGAGTTTGTGGAGTGTATATTATATCTTAACAATGCCGGTGATTTAGGGTCCGTTGCTACACTGTTTGCACGTCACGTAAGCCTGATTCAGGTAGTACACCGCCTAATGTCGGATCCGCTGAGCCCTAGCTCTGGCAACCTCTGGTTCTAACTCGTGTACAAGCCCTAAGCCCTGAGCCCACACCCAATATCTTATACTTTAATAAACCCTGCATAGGCCCTAACCTCTAAACCCTTCACCTTTCCGTAAATCCACGCCAGGTGGCCAGCCGAAGCCGCATATAGACTGGCTCTTGAGGATTGCCGACCCGGGGAGTCACTATGCGGTTTTGCGGTTTGCCCTTTTGTGCTTTTGGGTTGGTTGCCATCGAGTCCAGGTGAAAAAGAGGGTTTTGGGGGGGCCTCCAAATGGGACTTAGGATTTAGGGATTTGGGCTTGGGGGCTTGTGGCTTCGCGGCTTCTCTTCCGCCCGAGCTGAGTTCAATCTAACAGCACCCCCTACAGCCCCAAAGGAATCCCAAACTCATGAGGCCTGCTGCATCCAAGCCCTATACGGGTCCGTGTGCACATGTAGTACATGATGCTTAAGCTCTGACGTCGCCCCGTTTGTATAGGTACTCTAGGCCAGAGTATACACTATGTAGGAGATTGTGCGTTTGTTGGTGTTGGTAGGGCGGGGTCACGGTTGTCTAATGCTTTTCGCCGCTTTCATTGGGTTGAGTTTCAGTTGTTCTTCCGCAGGCTTCAGGCTTATAACTAAGGACTTCGCAGGATTAAGCGTGTAGGATTTGTGACAGCTTCACAGGAGCTGCTGCATTCTAGACCGTGTTCTTTAACATGTGGCATGCTGAAAGGTTCACCGAGCTTAGTCACGGGCCAGAAGAGTCGTCGGGACATTCACATGGTGAGAAAGCCTTCGCAGACAGGAACAATTGCTGTGTCCTAACTAGCAGACAGGTGGCTTAGGCCGTGAGTTTGGCTTAGACTTTGAACTTTAGTGGAACGGGAGGGGCCTGTCGTATGGACTTGACGTTGACGGTCTAGGAGTCAGCGAAGGGTTTGATACGGAGTAAAACCTACACACTATAAGTCACTACAAACCGTTAGACAGCTAAAGATACAGTGTTCTCAATGAGGCATGTCGTGTTCTGTACCAGCACTGCAGAATATGTGCTAGCATACAGGGCAACCTAACCTTGGGGACTCATGCAGACCAATCCAGCAAACCTGCTCTACACCAAACCTGAATAACCATCAAGATTATCCTTGCTTCGCGGCTCGCTCAAACATGCAAGTGGCAAAATCAATATTATTCGAAGGATTTCTCAAAACACTCATGCTGTTACAGTCCCCAACACCCCATCCTAAGAGTTAAGGCGCCCTACCTTACCCCAAACCTGGTGCTGGGGTGCTAGCTGCCTCAGGACGGGGCCCTCTCGCTTCCGGAGACCGAGGCCACCACAGTAGCGGACCATTCCTTGTACCCATTACCAGGAAGTCTATTCCTTAGGCCCCGGAACCATCTTCGAACCACTAGGCCCCTGATACGAGCGAGCTTGATCATGGCTCCGGCTTTTGGTTTGCAACCCTTAGTTACATCCTCTGGCCATGGCTCAAGCCCGACAGCGAAAGCCTTGAGCCGTCGTAAACTCCTCGACCCTATTTTCAACCTGAACACGAAACCCAAGCATCTCCGGCCCACCCCCCTAAAACCTACAATCAAGCAAAGAGTCTGGAGATTCCGGCCAGGGCTTAGGGCTTGGGATTTGGGGCTTACGGGGTTTACGGGTATTACGGGGGCATTCTCCGTCGGCGCCAAAGTGTAGGGTGTCGTGGTTTGGGGTGTGTTAGTGGTCGGGATTTCAGGCGTAGGCTGCAGGGGTTTAGGCCAGAACACCGAACACAGAGTTTACTTACGGTGTCAGTGATGCTGGCATCGTTCCGCAGAAGCCAAGACCAACTTTTCACACTGGATACCTCAGGCGCCGGCAGCAAACTGACAATATTTATACGGATCGGGGGAGTAATCGAGTTCGACCTCGCAGGGAGCCATCAGAGAAAGGAAGAGCTGGACAGATTAGCGACAGCAGGCCGTCAAGGAGTTGTAGTATTGTAGCTTCTGAATGCCAGAACAACAAGTAAGACTTCGAACTTAACGTTGCTGAGGAGCCAGCAGTCAAGACGCGATCCTTAAGAGTGCTTTCGGTTTGGTTAAGAGACGGAGAGCATTTGAGACACCGGCAGGTTCAAGAAGGCATCCGAAACCGGAAGCCCTTGTGGTGAGCTTCTTTGTAACCCTTAGACTACCCTTAGAGGATGTTTCCACTCAGCCCTAAACCATCAACCCTCTCACACTTCAAACAGGCGAGTCTTCTCTTGGCAGGAGTAGTTTCGTTCACGCACAGGGTTTATGAGTTCAGCGATTAGGCCATTCAATGTACAAGTTGGTGATAAAAGGCGGAATGGGCTGTAGAGACCGACCACAAGACAACCTTCCCAGCAAATCTGGAGCTTTCTCCTTGTAACCCCCCCGGCATCCAGGCATCCTTGATCGCATCGAATCGTGCTGCTCGCCTGACTTGATCGTAGAACCCCGTCCTTGAATCTTGGCAATGGGGCTTTAGACTTACTGAATGTTTATTAACAGACTCTGACCAAGCTCCGACCAACCCTATATGTGAACTCCAAACCTGTGAAGCCTTCTGAAACTGAAACCCTCCTAGGACCCAGAAAAGGAGTCTGAATTCTGAACCGTTATAAAGTCATAAATCTAGAGAAATTCATTCAATGCGAAAAGCAAGCTATAGATAGATGCAGAAGTATGTATTCACACATATATATATATGTGTGTATGTATATTTATATATGTATATGTAGACCTCTATAAAGACATATATATATATATACATTTATATGTATTTATAAGATACATATACTTATGTGTTTTGCTTGTTTGTACCTAAAACCTTATTGCTTTGAATGCTTGTGCATACCTCTGTACATATTTAATCCTTAAAAGGAATCTCTCGTGAATCCAAGGCCCTCGTTCTCCTCAAGGCCGGCGCCCCCGCCGAGGCTGCAGCCTCCGCTGCGGAGGCGCTCGCGAGCCCCGCGGCCAAGAGAAGGAAAGTTTTTGTTGGGCTTTGGGGCTTTAGGATTATGGGGCTTTGCTCTTTAGGATTTAGGGCTGCAGGATTCTGGGGTTTAGGGCTGTAGGACTTTAGGGTTACGTATGGGGTTGAGGGTTTAGGGAGGTTTTCTTGTTTGGGTTTAACTTTGAAGTGTTATAGGCGTAACTAGTGAGAGTCTATGGTTAGGGTTGGGGTTTTGGGGGTTCTTGTCGTGCCAAGGATTTGTTTGGGGTTTGGGGTGGTTTGAGATACGATTCGTTAGTTTTCGGGCCTGGGGCTCGTCCAGGATTGGGAGGGGCTTTTTCTTTTGAGCCTATAATGCTGTAAACCGCCTTATTGAACGGTCTGTAAGTGGACACCGGGGTTTCAGATTTTGTGCTGTCTACGGCCCTCTGAAACACTTACCCCCTCCACCAGCATCCGCAAGAGCTTAGACCAACTCAGGAAACCCACGGAATTCCAAAGCAGCTTTCCGACGGGCCCAAGCGGCTTGTCGGGATTTTGGTGTCATGGGGTATGGGTTTGAGGTTTCAATGTAGTGCATAGGGCTTCAGTGAAGGAAGTTGTGTTGGTTGCTTTCGATGTTAGACTTCAGGAGTGGCGGTTCAACTATACAGCGTCTCTGGGTTTAAGACCCGAGAGTTTATTGTTTCAGGCTTCAGGAGTCGCTGCAGACAGATGCAAGAAAGAGTTAACTGGGGGAGAGAGACAGAGAGATAGAGATCGAGAGAGAGAGTAAGGCGGGTATCTGGATTCCACCTTTTTTGTGGTTACCACGCGTGTGTGTATGTGCATCTGCGTGTTTATGTTTGTACATAGAGTACATGTGTGACAGAAGCCGCTCCGAGACGGATGTAGGAAGTTCAGACTCTTGTTGTACTTGCGGGGCGCATGCTCAACTGTTGTCCCCCTTGGCTCTGATTTTGACGTTGTATGAGGGCTTGGGCTGAAACACTTGTCGAAGTGTTGTGCGGGTTATGTGGTTCAGTGTGCTCCGCAACTCCTTTAAAGCAGACCCCCTTCTGGAGCCAATCCCGTTTACGTGCAGAACGCTTTCAAAACCCTCTGTGATTTCTTTAGTTTTCCAAGCTCTACAGACCCTGCACCTGAACCCTAAGCCCTGCCAGCTGACAACTGCTTGGCAGCAACCAGAGCAAAAGCGATCTTTGCAGCTACGACGATGGAGCCGTTTATATATTGCTTTCGCCAGCAAATCCAAACACAAGTTCGTGTTTAAGGCTTTGAGGGCTTGGTTCCAGTGTCATGTCATTCTGGCTTTTTCGGGATGGCTCATCTTACATTACAGGCTTACAATATTGAGAGTTTGGAGGACATACAATAGGCCTCACCTAGGTTCCTGAGCAGTACGGTTTTGCACTGTTTATGGTAGGGTCTGCTGACAAGAACCGAACAGCAGGAAAAAGGCTACCCTTATCATAAAGGGCCACTCAGAAACCTCGTCACAGATGCCAACCCCTAAACCCCAAACCCTAAAGCCTGCAATCCCAGCCTCAGACTCCACTGTAGCCTCGTGGTTGGGCCCTTGAGGGCTCCCACTGCGGGTTTAGGGTTTGGGGTTTTGGGATATATAGTGATAGGAACTTTAAACCCGAAACCCTTATACTGGGAGTTTGCATGAATCACCCATTCAGGGTTTGCATGAAGGTCATATGTTTTCAACTGAAAGTCCACTTCTGAATAGATATCTTCACAGCAGCGTCAGGGGAGTGCTAGACACAGTGCTACTTGCAACTTCCAGGGCTTTAGCGGCGAGACTTATATAGATTTAAACCTAAGCCCTTTTTTTGGGAGGAGGGGCTGCAGTGCACATGCCCTCAATCCCTATAAACCCTAGCCCAACCCTCAATCCCAATCCGCAGATTGAGAAGCGTACCCTCTACGTTCTGGGTGCTTGAACCCCAGGAGCTAGAGGAGGGGTGGGTGTAGAACATCGTTTGGGCTTTCGCATCACCAAAGGACCGCCCGTGTCCGCAACACTCGAACCATACACACACACACACACCCGAAAAGACCTAAACTGCCCTTTATAACCCCTTTCGGTGGCCTGGGCTACAACGTTTGAGGCACTGATTGAACTGCCTGGGCGTGCAGAGGAGGATGGACCGGGTAAGAGTTTGGGGGACACGGGATTCTAAAGGGCTTGCTAAGGATCTCTACCAGGGTACCCTAAGCCCGCAATACGGGCTTAACACATTAGGTTTCGGGACTCTTCGAATCCCGGCTTTTCCCCACCGGGGACACAGTTCTGCTGTAAGCTAGCTGCAGCTGTTGCATTTTTTGGATTGAGCGCGGGGGTTTTGCAACTTAGCATGAGGTGTCCCCTCGAGCCTTGCACTGTGGTATTAGTTAATATTCTGTATAGTTAAGAACTGTCATATTACATATGCAGAACTATTCGGTTGCAGGTTCAGCGCTCCAACAGGATCACGACAAACAGTACTCGCAGTGCCATGAATTATGAAACCAAACCCGATAAACCATAATTGTTATCATGGTATTTGTGGGGTCTAACCCAACCATGGCGACAGCAGTATCGGTACGGTTGCACTAGCGAGGTGTTTGGCTGAAGTTTTCGAACCTGCCTCATGCGAAAGTCGTGAGGTACTTCAATTACATGTTGCTCCGAGCTGGAGATGGTTCGAAAAAGCCGGCACGCCGTAATTTCTCGCAGTCTGCACTGGCATTGTGCCAAGATGGGGTCTTGGAGGATGGAGCGAAATGCGATGGAGCGAGCTTGCCATGCCATCAAAGCTGGCATGACCACTAGCATGACAGTGGCTGGTGTCAAGATGTGTGGCAGAAGCCAGCGCTTGTGCGGGACTTCGTCGTCACTGTTGGCTACACTAACTACAGTAGTGATGGTGCTGAAAGATGCTGAAAGTGTCGAAGATGGAGACGAGCGGCCCCTAAAGCCGAAGCCGCTAAACCCGAGCACCCTGCCTACCTAGACCCTAAACTTCATGATGAACGTGTCATCGTAGGAGCAGCTGACACCAACATGGGATGGAGCGAGATGTTGGGTCATTCTGGCTACACTGCTACACAACACCTCCCGCTGCACCCAAAAGCCCGAACCCGAAATCCTGAAGCCTGAAGACCAAGCCCGAAAGCCCCCAGCAATGAACGAGAAGCCTCAATCTCTGATATTCTTGGGGCTATAGGGAACCCATATACATCCCGATACAACCTGCATGAAAATCCTAGACCAAGCACCCAAGGCCCTCCAAAATCTCAGTCACTAACACTCTTGGAGCTATCGAACCCTGCAAAACCGGAAAGCCAACATAGCTATAATGTCATGTTTTGTTCTGCTCTTTGAGGGTTCTTTAAAGGGAAACCTTTTGGATCCCTTAAGGGAGGCTTTAAAGCAACCCTGATAGATCCCTTAAAGGAGCCCTTAAAGCGACCCGTATAGATCCCCTTTTTGTGGGGAACCCTGATGGATCAGGGAACCCTAAACCCTAAACCCTAAACCCTAAGGCATCCTTTTCGGCACCTGCGAGGCGCTGGAGGCTGCGAGGGTGGCGGCGAATCTGGAGCCCCAGGACCAGCGGTCCGGAGATCTCTGGAGGGTTTAGATTGTTGTGTTCATTGTTTATATATATATATATATGTATATATAGATATGTATACACATATCTATATGGGCATGATATTAGTAATTTTAGTTCTGTAGTGTGAGTGATTTTTGGGCATAAGTGGGAAAGCAAAGGTACGAAGTAGAATAGCAAAAGGGATCTACCAGGGCTCTTCGCGGGGTTCTTCAAGGGTTGTCTTGTAGATTTAGGCTCTACAAGCTTTAGGGCGCTAGGGGTTTTAAGGATTCGGGTCTTTAGGGTTTAGGGCTTAGTGTTAGTGTGTTTAGGTTTTCTTTGGCACGGGGAGTGCTGGCAGTGAACTTTTGGCGGCAGTTCAGTCGCCAGAGCTTCAAGGCTTAGGGAAGTTTAGGGATTGGTGGTGGGGCTTTGGAGCATTACGCTTCAGAAACCCTGTCGTTCTGCCACGTGTGTTTCCAGCCCTTCGTGTTTGGAATCTTTGGCCTTAAACCCGACACCCTAAACCTTTGACCTTTGGGAATGTAGGCTTGGCCCCGTAGAGTCGTAAAGTTTCAATGCGCTCTAAAGCGGTTCGGCATTGGAGTTTAGCGCTGAGGGTTACTGGAGGCGTAGGCCTTGCGGCGTCAGGCTCGTAGGTTCTGCAGGGGAAACAGAGCTCTTGGTCTGGTTCTTCATTCTTGTGTTTAGCGTCTGAGGTTTAGGGGTTTTACCCAATGCGGCTGGTAACCGATATATGAAGAACTGTTCTGGTAACCTCTGAGCGCAGTTACCAGCCAAAAGGGGCCAGTTCCTGGAACCAGTTCCGATGTTGTCCCCCGAAAGTATGCGTACATGTTATTATTAATAGTACAATATATAAATATATATATATATATATATATATATTGTACTATTCTATATATATATATATATATAATAGCTAATATATATATATATATATATATATATATGTATATATATATATATACATGGGGACAGAGGGTATATATACATGGGGACAGATGGAGACAAACCGAGAGATTCAGTTGATCACGATGTCGGAATGGAAGGCCTGCAGTTTCCGGTTCATCCCGTTTGGACATCCCGGAAACAATAGCTATGCCACCCTAATCTTGGAGCAAGCATTTGTTTAAAACCCTGCAATGTCTTGAAACCTGAAAGCCAGCAGCACCCTACAGCCCAGGACCAGGACATGCCGATTGCATGTCATATACATGCAGTGCTGTGCTGTCTAGATCTATGCCGTGTCTCAACGGTGCTTTGCAATCGCTGCCATGCAGCGAGCCCTGCTGCTTTCTCGAAGCAAGTTGCTGGAGAAGAACAAGCGGAAACGTGTACCCCCCCTGCCGGCTTGCCTGCATCGTGTGCGGCTGTGTGCATTTACATGCAGGTGTAGTCTGTACATGTTGCATTTTGTGCGCTTTGCATGCATGCATGGCTTGGGTTTTAAAAGCCGTTTTGCTTCACAGCAGTTCCAGGCCTTGAAGGGTCATGTCGAATGATGGGTGTGCCGTTGTTGCGGCAGCCGATGATAACGATGATGAGTTCGATGTATCGAACGATTACGAGTGGCTTGCTGTGGATTAGCTAACGGGGTTTGACCGCGAGCCAAGATTTGAGTATTTGTCGTAGCTTGCAATTGCATACTCGAGGACCATGGTGATCAAGGATATCCTGGACGAGTGGGTTCGGGGCAAAGACGAGGGGAAGAAGCACAGCCGTGCTGGGGAAGCGAGGCGGAAGGAAGAGATTCGGCAGCAAGGGGATTTGGAAGTGTGGTGGTATGCTCATAGTTTTGCCTTACTAGTCTGCATTGTCCATCTGAGGGGCATGAACTCTTGGAGCCCTTCCAATTCATATCAGATGCTGCCGTGGAGGTTGCTTTCGAGGCGATCGCTCCACTGCTTGCATCTTTCGGGTGCAGTCAGCCCCCTCTGGGAAAGTACAAGGTATCTTGTCATGCTATTACATTATACGGATTCCTAATTGCTACAGAATACGCATTTCGGCTCAGGACGGTTTCGAATGGATTCTGAAAGAGCACGATATCATGGGCAAAGATGTGAAGAAAAAGGAAAGCCAGGCCGGCTCCAGTGTGTGTGTGCATGTGTAGACTCGTCCTCAGCGGCTGTGACAGTGTTGCAGTTGCCGAGCGAATACATGTTTGTGCACCTGGCTTGCAGATGTGGGTGGGTTACCACTCCGGGACTTTGCGAGGACGAGTGATCTATTTGGTGAGATTGTACCGGAAAACTCCGGATCGATCGAAGCTGCTTTCCGGCACATATGCATGCGGTGGGTGGCGAGCTCGACAGACAGATGTGGAGAGAGAGAGAGAGAGAGAGTGTGTGTGTGTCTGTGTGTGTATGAGGTCTCCCAAGATACAGATGCTCAAGGACATCTTGAAAGCTCAAGAGCCTCCACCCGAATCCGGGGGCCAGGATATGGCAGCGGCTCCAATCGAAGCTGAGGACCAGGATATGGCAGAGACTCCAGCCGAAGCTGGGGACCAGGATATGGCAGAGGCTCCAACCGAAGCTGGGGACCAGGATATGGCAGAGGCTCCAGCCGAACCCGGGGACCAGGATATGGCAGAGGCTCCAGCTGAGGATGGGGTTGAGGCGAGGGTTGACGTGAAGCCTTCTGTGATACATTTAGCAGAATATTGCACATGAAAATGTTGCAGTTGTACAGGCAGTGGAGAAGAGCTACCCACCGGTGCCTGCTTTCGAGGACTAGCTGGTGCATGCTTCATAAAATCTAATGATGTTTCTTTGCATGCAGGGTGCGATTCAGCTATCCACAGATGCAGACAGCCAGATCGTTGAGGAGCAGGAGGAAGAGCATTTTCAGTATCAGACCGATCGTACAGACATGTGTGCATGTGCTTATTGTGCAATGTGCTTGCAACCTCCATGTGCAGGAACACGAGGTGCCAGCCACCCAGCCCGATCCCCCATCAGCCGAGAAGCCGAAGCCCGAGAAGGACAATTCTGGGATAGCGCCTATGTGTGTACCATGTGCATGTATGTGTACGATGTATGGTCATGACATCTCTTTCCCAATCCATCAGTATCTATATTATGTTTTGCTTTTAAATTTGATTATTGTCAGGATCCGAAAGACTCCGAGGACTCCCACGGCGATCGAACGAGCGACAAGGACTTCATGGAAGGATCACTCCATGAAATTTTGAAGATATGGATTTCGAAGCTTGCAGGATCGCAAACCCTTGGTGGCCGAAGCTCCAACCTGGGATTCCAGCCAGGCTGAAAAAGTGTTGGAGGAAGCAGGCGGTGAGGATGATGCTGCTTTGTCCGAGCTGCAGTCCAAACTGTTTCCCAGCTGAATATAGTACTTGCATGCACATGGGCTGCATTTGGCATGACAGCACGTACAATCGCACTTAGAGTGTACATGTACATTCCATCCGAGGCGAGCAGCTGCTAAGGCGAAGGCAACTGTTGAGCATGCGGAAAAGAAGACTCGAGGACGTGGCCGTGGAGGCGGCGGTCGTGGAGGCGGCCGTGGAAGGAGCACGGTTGCAATTCATTCCATATAGCTGATCACTTTCATAATATCATGCAGGAGTGGTGCCGCATTGAAGCGGCCAGCAGCTGCAAAGCGGAAGGTCGACGAGGTGGACGAGGTTGGGCCGGAGACGGAAGTGGTCGAGGCCTCCGCCGGGATGGCGCAAAGCAAGGAGGAGGATATCGATGCTGAAGCCAAGCCCGAGAAGAAAGCAAAGAAAGGCGAGCAGGAAGCAGACGGGAATGATGATAAAGGCAAGAACGACAAGAAAAACAAGAAAGACCGGACAGCCGAGGAGAAGGAGGTGCTGGACAGCATCCCGGAGCTTGAGAACTACAGAGTTCTTCAGCTGGCAATAGACCCGCACATTATCACAAATCGTGCTGGCAGTATGTTGTTGCTGTTACAAGCTCATCCAGCATTGAGGTGATGCCGTACTGGAGCCGACCTTTCGAGTGTGGTGTCGTGCGCAAAGCGACATCAGCGAGGCCTAAGAAGCAGGCAGGATGTCCGTGCAGGTCAGTTTGTGATGTGTGCGGTAGTGTTGCGGCATTGTGTAGCAGCTAAGTAGCAGGTGCTGTTCATCTCCGGCAAGCACACGGGGCTGCCTATCACGTGGAAGGAGCTTGTTGACCCTTGCATCAAAGCCGTGGCTTGCCGGTAAATAGATAGCATATACTTTTCGTGGCAGTGGCAACAGTGTCGAGCTGCCAAACATCCGGTTGCCTTTTTGAGGCTGAGTCTTTGGAAGAGGGCAAGGAAATGGCGGTGGTGGAAGATGCCTTCGAGCAGGACAAAATGGCTTTGGCAAAATTGACGGCCCAGCGCCGGGCCGAAAAGGCCGTGAAGTAGAGCTGCTGTGGAATGGATGTGATCGTCCTGACTGGAAAGGGTCCAGTTTACAGGATGAGGTTTTGATGGCCTCCCCGACATAGTGATCCTGCCCGAACACATAAACCATGCTGTTCATTTTGGGCCTCGGCTTTGCCGTTCAGTAGTGGACACGACTGCCGCAGATGCTGCTTTCGACGGGTCCAAATGTGTAGTTGCCAGCCCTGCAGATTTCGAGTGTCATTCGAAAGGTTCTGCAGTAGTAGTAGTGATGACACAGGCATGATACATGTTGTGCTGTTGGCTCGTGCATGTGGCTGCTTCATGCAATTGTTCAGCAGGCAGCACCTTGACTAGAAAACTGAGGCCTGTTCCAGTCTATCCCGACCCTGTATGGATATAGGTTATAGGTCGTTACAATCCGAAGGGTTATAGGTAGTACATCCCTAAACCTTAAACCCCTGAAGCCAGGCTTTGTCCGAGTGTGAGTGTCAAAAAGCCCCTGAAGCTTATAATTAAACTGTACATAATGAAGAGATGATCATCCGAGGCCAACGATATGTGATGTGGCGCTTTTTCTCGTGGCTGGCATCGCTGGAATCTCCGATGACTCCGGCCATATATGG